TTCGTAATTATTACACCTACGTAATACTCCGAACTAATCGTAAATTTTTGTAAGTTTACGCTCGCGTAAAAACTTGCAGAGGTTTACACCTATTTATTTTTGCTGATATAAGTTTGATAATCCACATTGGCGGGCACAAAAACTTGTGGGTGAAATCTTGGATCTATTCTGGGTAGACAAAGAGGAATTATGCTTACTAGGCGCGTTGGAGAAAAACGTGGTGAGATCATTATGAAATTGTTCGAATAATAGAAGAAACTGAATTTTCTGTATATCAAAAATCACGAATAGGAACCTATGTACTTGTCAGAAAATGACTTACTGAACAATGTTAATGATAAAATAGGATTCAAGTATTTCAGGAATAGGCGAAAAAATCAAAGTTATTATCGCTTCAAAGAATTATTCTTACAAAACATGGTGAAATTCGATTGTCATATAAAAAAGAAAACTCATTTTTATATTATATTGAAGGCGGACTTGAAATACAATTAAGCAAATTAAGCATAGCTATAGACTTTACAGCAATCAAATTATACATTTTGGTAGGTACCATTTTAGAAAAATATGATTCAGATGGTATCTCATAATTTTCTATTATGATCTTTTTCATAACATAGAAATTTCTAGAGCTATTGATATTTATAAATATAGTTTGCAAAATGTTAATTTATCAGGCCCTACAAATTTCTCCCCAATCGACGATTACGATGTAATTTCAGATTTAACCAATACAATAGAAGCTATTATGAATACTATTTATCCTCTTAGTTCCATGTTTCTTGTTTTGTCTTGATCAATTTTTTTTTTTTTTTTGCAATACACATGCTTATATAATTGAATAATTATTTATGACATCAATTCATAGAGTAATTTTTAATAACTAATCTTAGACACAATTTCAAAATCAATTTCACATTTATTAATTGAAATTTATGTGCTTAAAAATTATACAAAATATTAGCATGAATATGACTGCTAATTTTTTAACTAAGGGATAGCTAAAATGTTTATATTTTCAATTCTTCTTTAAGCTAGATAAAAAAGAGATTTAAATAAATATAATCAATAGTCAATTAAATTAATATCGAGCAAGATTATAAGTAATAGTAAAAAAATAAAAAATAGTCTACAATCGATCAATTGAATTTATTTTTTATAAATATTGATATAAGAAAATTGTTTTAATCTATCGGCTAACATTCTGAAAAATGTCTAAAAAAAATGGTGGTTCCAACTTAGAACGTTATAACCATTTTAAAAAACTATATGATAATGCTATTAAAAAATACAAGATAGAAGAATACAAAAGTTCTTATTGTTCTTTTGACTCTGTTGCAAACGGATATAGATTTGAAAATGAAGAATTAGCATATGATGCCAAATATTATTTGGCACTTCATTTTTTGATAGGATTAGGAATTACTAAAAATTTGGATAAAGCTCAAAATCTCTTTAAAGAAGTTTTCACGAGTAGTTCCAAATACAAAGAACGTGCCAAACAGAAGTTACTAGATTTTATAAAATATGCAGGATAGAACACGTTCTTATCTATTCTCTGTGCAATTGATGCAACTATTTTTCGATCCAGTTATTATTTTCGTTACCATATAAAATTTGAAATTAGAAATTCAATAAAAATAATAATTATATTTTGAATTTTTTAAATACTTAGTACAAAAAAAAAGGAAATAACAAAATATTTAAAACAAGAAACAAAAGAAATATTTTGACTAATGAATTCATTTTTTGTATGGGCACGTGCCGCTTTGCGGCACGTGTAGCCAATCATTTGTCAAATTACGTATTCGACAATTTGCCCAATAATGGTGTTATCCGGCAATTTATGATCATGATTAGTAGGGAGTAGGGTGTCCAGAATTCTGCGGTGCATAATTCTGCTCACTCTACAATACAAAAA